TTACTTGAATATGGTAATTGCCCTGYGAATAGATTTAGCACACATCTATAGAMATTTCCAGCTGCTTCAAATTAGCTGGGAGCAACTGTCATTGTTTGTAGCAATTTCATTTCTCAAGAACTGAATTCATAGAAACTCAGGATTTTAATTGATTGACATGGAAACATGTTAACTGTGAAAAGTTCTCTACATGTATGTTAGATTAGTTAAAACAAAATACTCGATGGATATGGAGGGATAGCAATTCATATAGACCGGTATTATTTGTAGTCTTTTCACTTGGAAGGTTTGAGCAGTTTTGGGGCCCTTGATCTAATAAYAAAGCTGTGCTATGCATACCATCATCCAGAAGATTTAAAAGATTTGTGATAGTTTCTAAACCAGCAAGTCTAACACTGTTTTCCTCATCATTAGTTAGTTCAACCAGTTCAGGAATAATCATTGTTTTAGTTGTCTCCCACCTATAAAGAGAACGGATTGAAAATAAAAATAGTGTTGTAACATTAGATTAAATTCATTTGACAAAATATCTTATCAATTAGGTATATTTACCTATCAAATACCTATATTTCTCTCTTTCGAAAAGTTGTTACTTTCACTAGTGAAATTAACGCATAGAGCGGATTTCATATGAGTGGGAAACGGACGGTACTGTACTGTGACCRTAATCGTACTRTAACCAAATTCTAGTGTCCCATTGGTTCACCAAAATTGTGAAGGCCAGGTCYGGTAACTGTGCGGTAACCATGCGGTAACGGTGTCCCACTCATACAAAATCCTCTCTATGAAGTAAAAAAGGTACTTTTACGACATCACTTAGTTTCACTACTCTCACTTGTGAGAGATCTTTTCAACACTCCATTTAATATCTTCTATATACTTAAAATTTATATTCAAACCAAATCTACGAAACACCAATTAAAGTCTAAACAATTAAGTCACGTATCATATTGAACCATGCTTTTGCATCAAAGTGAGATGATCATTCCATGAATATTGGCYGACTCACTTTGATGACCTGGAACCTTTCAAGATTGAGCCAAGAATGACACTATTTGTCTAAAATGCAACCTTATTTCAAAACTTCAAGCAATACAAATATATGACTCATTTATATCTATTAAAAACAATTGCGAGAAAATATTTGTTTTGGAATTATTTCACATCAGAGAAATTTCGATTCAAAAGATGGAAGAACAAAAGGATGAAGTAAATGGCGTCATCTACTCCAACATTTTCTACCCAAATTATTGAGGATTTACAGATTTGAAATCTGTTGCTTCATGATTATTAGACCCATATGGATAGGTCTATTTGATTTCCAAGTCTTTTCTAATGTTTTGCAATTTGCGTCCAATTAGTCTTTTAAAATGGGGACAAAAAGTGTTGTTTTTATAATTTGAGTCCATACCAGCAATAAAAAAGCATTCCTTAACCCAGACCCTGTTCAGTTCCTCACAAAAACAGAAGGCTCTGGTTGTGACAGACCGAAAGGACATGGGAATTTTTGAGCCAATCAAATCAAAGACTCATTCTTCTCCAAAGAGAACCTTCGATTGTCAGTTGGGAAACAAAGAATGATCTGTGTGATTTGAGAGTGCAATAATAATAATATTCACAAATTTCTGTTTAACAGACAACCAGAGTAGAGATATAATTCATACTGCAGGTGCAAATTTAACTTAGCCTTGACTCCAGCCAGGAGCTTAGAGGCTAAGCACCTTTTGTAAAATGAGGGTGGTCCCAATGACTGCAGAC